GAGCGCATTCTCAACGAATTAAGCCAGGCTTTACAAAGCCGGTGACCTAAAAATGGCGGACGTACATGAAAGAAAAACCGCCTAATCTTTTAATAGTCTCTCCGCCTCTCACACGCCTCCCCACACGTCGTCCCTGCGGGGTACAGTAATTAAATCTCGGCTCCGAACATTAATATTTCCGTGAATATCTCTGGTGATATTATCTCCTTAGATAGTCGATTCATTGCTGCTCTACGGGCCAAATTATTCCTTTTTCGTCTCTGTTTTCAAAGATAATAGAACAGAAGAGCTTTTTTTTTTCGATCGCCTTCAGCCGCTATGCCTTCTTCACCACGAGTTTAACTGATGAGCATGCGCACTTAATATTTCTCAGGTAGCTTCCGCATGGCGAACGGAGCCGAGATTTAATTACTGTACCCCGCAGGGACGACGTGTGGGGAGGCGGAGAGACTATTAAAAGATTAGGCGGTTTTTCTTTCATGTACGTCCGCCATTTTTAGGTCACCGGCTTTGTAAAGCCTGGCTTAATTCGTTGAGAATGCGCTCATAGAAAGGTCATTGCATTACGTTTTGCCCGTCACACGACCAAGTAATTAGCTCCTAAATTTTGACAAATACACTTGATTGTTTTAACATTTAAATGGTATTATCTAATGCTTTATTGATATGTATTAAATGTTGATTTCATTTTTCGGGAAGAAATTTGCATCTTCCGTCCCTAATGTTGGGCAACGCGAAACAGATTGCCTCTCGAATTTTGCACAGGTCTCAATGACTAGAATGTCTAATAATAGAAAGAATATGTGTATATTTTGGATACTACTGAAAGAAAACTTACCTTTTCATTTAAAAAAGTAGATAAATCCTTTATCTTATCGCGGAATACGATAAAGCGAGCCATCTTGATCCTCGTCAAGAGTTCAATGAAGACGTCTTCATGACAACAGCGGGTGACGTCATATTACACTTATGACAAACAACTTGCGTTGTGACGTCACAATAAGGTTGTGACTGCAGCTCTTTATAGTCTTCCCCTGTATATTTATTGTTATTTTCATGCTGATTTTCGGGGTTGTGGTGAAAAAAATTAATACTTTGATAAGGACACCCGACTCTACCAAAGTATTATTTAGATGAAAGCTGATAGTTCTAAATCTGGTGCGGAAATAAAAGATCAAGCGTGCATGACAAAGTGTTATTTATTACTGCCGATTTTACAGGGTACACACCCACTTCGCAGTTAGCATTAATTTTTGTGACTAAAAAAATCGAGAGATTCTGCTCTATTTTAATATATCATATCGAAATATTAGATCAAATCTATACCAAATTGGAAATATCATGCAATAATAAATGGAGCTGATTTGCACCCCCCCCCCCCTCCCTTAGTAGCTTGCTGACAGTGGGCAGTTAAAAACGGCAATTATTGACAACACAATACTTTGAAATGCACAGCAATATTGGACTTTATGGTGTTAAACGACGAAAAAGATAAAACATCAATGTACATCAATTGTTACCTCATTTTATCTAAAAAGTACAGCTTATTTTACTTTAAACCTACCATGTTTATTTTAACTCCTATCAATTCATCCACTTATTGTTATTATGTCAGTAGTATTTTTGTTCACTTCTCAATTCAACTGCTTTAAGTATCAAGAAATAAATATTATTAACCTTTTTTGCTAATTATACATCGTCCATAAGACCCCATTTCCAGAGATTAGATCGATCTACTTTAGATCGACCTAACTCCCTGGGGGTTCACGCTAAATAGCTGTCAGCCGGGCGGACACGAAAGTTAATAACCCCCTTACAGCTTGTAGTAGGCGGGACGGACATTTAAGCCGGATTATCTGACAGTAATCTAGTGAGACTCCCCGTGGGGATAGATCGATCTAAAAGCTCTGGGAATACAGCCTAAGAGAAGAACTCGTTTATTCAACAGCTGTGCAAAATTACAACGGGTATTATAAAACTAGCACAGCAGTCTTTCATACATCTATCACAAGCATACACAACAACGATTTTTTCTCATTAGGCCCTATACCCTGTATTTTGTTGAGGTTGATAAACAATATGTGTTCTAAGCATGCACGTGATCAGTTATAGGGGGCCTACAACTACTAATTATAATAGGATAGAACGGAGATAAAATATGGAGTTGTTCAGAATTTACTGCGTGATAACAACACTGATTATAAAATGAGGTCATAGTTTTGTTTAGAGCCGACAACGAAGCATTTTTCTTTCGCTTTTGCTAGTCACTTCCTGGTTAGCATTTAAGCGCATTCTAGTCATCGGGGATATTGACAGAGACGACAGACTATATTAAGGTAGGTGTAGTCTATGGTTTTAAACCGGTATGTACATGGTTAAAGAAAGGGCAATATATAAACAACATCCATAAAGCAGGCTAAATGCGCGACAACATCTCCGTGAGCGTCCAGTGTTGCGGTTGGGGTCGGGGTGGGTGGGTGTGGGAGGGGAAGGATTAGCTTAAATTGGTATCAGCGCATTATCTCTCTCTCTCTCTCTCTTTTCTCTACTCTTGTGCAAATAAATACCATCAATTTCTCATACATACTACCGATTAGCGTAATACATCTTATCAAAGTGTTCGGCAGCATACCGATTTTATGAACCGATTAGGTGAAATAATGGACTTTAAACTTAATCAAAAGCACGTAGGCTACTGTAACAGATGGCATAAAGAGGGAGTTATCAATATTGCACTGATAGAGGGTCCATATCAGTCAAACAAGTTCCAAACTATTGAAATGTGCTTTTTATTGTTTACGTCAGTTGTAGCAACATTTATTTTCCATGTGATTTATATTCATGTAGACAATAGTTGGAGCGATGACAGATTTAATTATGCCTTGCCTTCCTTTGAGACAAGCGTGTATTATGAACTCATGCATTTTCATACAGTTTTGTCTTAGTGCTGTGGTCTCTTTAGCCGTAAAAAGTAATAATGAACGAGCATTTTACTCTCCAGTTTTTTAACGTCTTCATCAGAAAGCCTTCCCTCATTTCTAGGATGATGATGCCATACATGTAAACGCACATATATGTTAAGACTATTTTACTTTGCCAATTTATCAAAGCACTGACAAATAATGATGTTCAACACAATAATTGTGCATTAAACGACGACGTATGACAATTGATTTCCGGTCATGCTCTTATTTAAATTACGTTATCTACGCCGATTGATTTTCAAGAGTCCACTAGTAAAAACCTGAGTAATTACTGTGTCTAGTTGCGATGGCCAAGTTTTGCTTTATGAATCGATTGCATCATTCTTTCAGCTTGTCACGGACATATCTTTAAAATGGACTAAATATACGGGGATGTGCAACGTAGAAACATGCCACTTCCGAACACGAGCACCAATTTGGCGGGAGCTTGGGATGGCATCCCGTTAAATAACGTATGCATGGCCATTGAGAACGACGCTGCTTTGTACCAGAACTTAACAGGTGACCCGTTGTATATTTTTGCAGAACATCTGAGATATTATGGCAGACCCACCATCTATATCCTTGGTCTCGTCTTCAACACTTTGGCGATAGCCGTGTTTTGCCGGAAATCACTGAGACGCACGACGACATGTATGTTCATGATCAGCGTTGCAATCTTTGATACGATGAATCTAGTGAACGGTTTCTTTTTCTGGATCCAGTATGATTTGAACGCTAAGATAATGACTGGAAGTATATTCTTATGCAAACTGGTGGTATTCACGCTTTACTTTGCTCCGGAAGCAAGTGCCATCTTGCTCTCTGCGATGAGCATTGAGAGGTATATAAAAATTCGCTTTCCCATTATGGCTAGAAAAATATGTTCAGTGACCAAAATCAGAGTCACCATAGTTTCCATTGTAACGGTTCTCTTGCTGATAAACCTACCAGTTTTATTTGCCGAAATCTACTTCAAGCTTCCACAATGTCGTGACTATATTTGCTGGAATATATTCCACAACAGCCCCCGGTACATCACTCACGAAAGGAGGATCACCGCGTATTTTGTCGACGTGCATAAATGGGTGGCCGCCGCTATTTACTTTGTCATCCCAACTGCCACCCTCCTAATTTTTAACACTCTGATCATGCTACAAGTGAGAAAAATCAACAAGGAAAGCTCACGTATGACAAGGAACACGTCAATGAAGAGCCAAATTACAAACATGTTGCTGGTCGTCACGTTTTCATTTCTAATCATGACGACCGGTTATAACACAATTCAAACCGGCATCGTGGATATATGGGGAGAAACTGGCACTGACTCGGAGGCCGAAATATCTTTGGTTTTTACTTTATTTACTCTACTCTTTTACTTGAACCATGCGTCAAACTTCTTCCTCTATTGCCTTAGTGGACCCAAATACCGACAAGTGCTGAAGCAGATGATGTTGCCGTGTCTGCGTTGCTGCCTGGCCCGCACGAAAAGCCAAAGGCAACCTGAGAGCGATACAAACGTTGCCTCCCAGAAAACAGTTACGTCAACTGTGTCTGAAAGCACGGACAGTGAAATAAGTGCCACGACCGGTCTTAAGTTTAAGGGACGTTACTATGGAAGCATGAACCCAGCTTCTGCTTCACGATCTTATCGTGTTTTTTGATCTCATTTTTAACTGATGAATGCCATGAATTAATGTCGCCAACAGTTGGTTAGTCGGAGAAAATTCGATTAGTATGAGTTTTTATCAAAAAAATTGTGCACCGTTAAAATTTGTTCTGGATATTGCATCACATTACTAACGTTGCTCACGAAACATTTTTTTTCTGATGAGAGAGGGAAAGCTGTGTGAAACCTGGATTTGCAGTTTATCAGATAAACGAATTATTTAGTTTGTCAATAAATCCTGTCACTGTTGAAAATAAGAAACTGACAACAACAGCATAACATCCTTTAATCAACTTTTATTTTCAACTAAGGAACAATGTGGATGAAAATGACCACTACAGGCTATTCCAGGACCATGACCACTAGGTCGATCTCACTTATAAGTGGCTGTACAGTCATCAGGGCAGCCACACTTTAACATACCGAATTATTGTAAATTAACTAAAATTAATGTGTAAGTACTTACAACAAGAAAAACGCTTTTATTTAATACATATAGACATCTATTTAAACAGTAATAATTAAAACAAAAGGTGAAATTGCTGAATATGCCATAAAAAGATGAAGTTTGCTGATATTTATACATTTCTTCTAGTTGTGAAACATCAAGCCTATGGGCAGATAGTCTCTTGCTGGGCAAGCTCACCAATCTAAAGGTGCTGGGTAATGTTAATTGAGCCCAATGTCCTATAAATGCATCCAGGTGGTGTTAACAAACATGTACAGTAAGTTTTTAAATCTACTTTCTATTTTGCATCAATTGCTTGACAAAGTGACCTAATAAATGTTTCAGTTAGGTCAAGAGAAACACCCTTTACAAGTTAAACTGCGTATCAAGGTGCTCAGGGCTTGTGAGATGATTTTTCCGTTTATTACTTTTGATGAGCAACACGGCAAACAGTGTATCATCATCACGGCGAGATTTACTGGATTTGTCTTAACAGTCAGCAAAGTCCCATTATGTAACACCCAAGCTACCTGATGTCCCCACAATAATCAAATCTTATAAAAATACCATACACTTGTATGACACACCTTTTTTTGTTTGTTGAGTGATTCATTTTAGAAGAAAAATATTCAATAACCCTCAAATTAATAACCCACAGTTGCATGAGGTAAGCAATAAGACATTCACCTGACATGTTTAGATAAAACGAGCAACCTATTTTGGTAAAATTTAAAATGCCAGTGTTGACCCACAATATCTTAGAAGTGCTAAGAAGCGTTTCACATCTACATTTCACTTATCTTAGTGCAAAGACACCAGCACTTATTGGGTTAAATTCCATCACTTATCTTTTACTCAGGATGGTAACCAATAGCAGTGGATAGATTTTAAATTCATCAGCTGCCAACTACATCTTAGGCTGTAATAATCAATTACCTGGCCCACAAAATTTAAATTAATAGCGATTTTACAACATTATGTAAATTCTAAAAGTAAGTAAAAATATTTTTACAAACTAACCATTGTGAAAATACCACTTAAAATTATCAAAACTGATAAAAGCACCGCTATACATTATGATTCACATATATTAACAGTATAAAAAGCAATATTACAATGTAAATACAATTGTGGCATCAACTTCTTAGCTTTGTGATTTTCACATCTCTATTAACAAATCTGTACACATGGAATAAATGGATGAACCCTGCAAACCTGCCACTGAACTAAAACTGCTGGCAAAAATTGACAAAAATAAATAAATAAAAATTAAAAAAGCGCCCTGCCAGATCCAGGTGCCTCTACATATACCCTGTACTAAAACATTAAAAAAACTATTTTATGATGACCAGTTATGTGAGATTATACAAGTATATATTATGGTTTTATTAGATGGAATTAAATTCAGTAGCTAGATTTGAGAAACCTCAAACAAACTCAAGTGTTTAGTATGTCAAAAATGTCAAGTCAAAACTGTCATACGAAGCATCACAAAGCTACATTATAAAAGATGACCACATTTCTAAAGAGAGCACTGAGAGTACATCAAGTGAAGATTACAGTCAGAGGAATAATATGCAACAACATTCCTACAGCTGATAATATATGCATCATTTTGACCTTCTTTTATACAAAAAAGGGTTTGTCTTCAAATAAAGAAAACATTATTTAAGATACCAGAGAAAAGGTTTAGTTTTAACAAATGTCCATAATGTGCCAACTGGGATAAACTGATCACACCCAAAAACACAATTATACTTAACTACAACTACCACAATCTTTCAGCAGCCTCTTTTTACCCTAATATAACCTCATCCTTGACATTTTATTACTTACACAGTCTTTGTTTAAAAATCCATCCTGAACTTTTGATGTTTTCAAAAAAAAAAAAAAAAAAAAAAAAAAAAAAAAAAAAAAAAAAAATTATGACCTTTTAAAAAACATGCTGAACTTGAGGAAGATATAAGACTCTCACATATGCACAATGTAAGTCAGTTGTTTCATTATCTGGTAAATGAAGATAACCAACATCAATACAGTAAGTACTGTTAGTCTACAACAATAATTATAATCATAGTTCTTTGGAAGCAGAATGATGGTTTTTAACCACAATGGCCAGTATGGTAAATGGCACCAAAGCACACGCAGCCAGTATTTGAATACCAAAATGCCATCAACATGCAAGTAAGTTACACCATTTTTTTTCCATTTTCAGTCAAATTGTACCAATTTCTTTTTACTGTTCACAAACAAATGCCTCACAGTCAACATTCAGATCCCTTTTGTTTCACATGAGTGGCATATATCACTTATTTTTAACTATGTAGAACTCTTTGCATACCATGACCTCGGGATATCTGATATGTTCACATTATTTCAGCTGCATTCTCCATTATGTTATTTTCTTGTTTCCACATATATAAGTAAACACCAGGTAATTCTTTTACCTGAATAGTAAATGCAAATTTTAATTAGTCTAATAATAATTTAAACATTTAATGTAACTCAGGAGGTGCTCAAAGCCTCAAACTCCTCTAGTGTTAATGAATCCAGCCTCCTCCCAGCATCAGTAGATCTCCTGTCAGATTTGTTCTTCATATTATTATTTTCAAGCTCTTCCTCTGACAGAGTCATCGTATGCTGTTTGTCTGCAGAGTTATAAGTGTTGTTAGAAGTGCCCGTTTTGAATGAGGGGCTGTAAGTTAAGTCATTCAGTTCAGCCTCTTGGATACTGTTGTACAAATAGCGCTGCTTTTCGATTGAGGTCACATGTCCGCTGTTACTATTTAATTCCTTCAGCTCAGTGGGATCGGCATCCACTAGCTCAATATCACTCAATGGAGAAATCTCCATGGCTGAATCATCACGGCCACCTACATGGTCTGACGAGCCAGAGGAATTTTCACTTGTGGTGGAATTTCGATAACTTGCCTCCTGCTGGTTGTCCCCCACTTTGAGGCTCTCCTGAGTGGCCGAGGAGCGAGGTGACTGGCGACTGTATTTGGGTGGGGGCTCCAACTTTGGTGTGAGGTTAAGATCCAGGCGATTTCCACTGGCGTCCTGCATTGGACAGGGGACAATAACCTTGGCCTTGCCATCCACGACCTTGACCTGGTCTCTGTGCTGTGAGTTTGGCTGGTAGACGTTGTTGTTATTGTTAACCCTACTGCTGTTGTTCATGAGAAATGGGTTCTTGTTTTGGTTTGCTGGAGTGTTTTGTTGTTTTCTGTGCCAGGCATTGGCATCTGCCTGACTGAAGTTATACATGAGACTGTCTGAGGACATCTCCCTGTGTCCACTATCTGGGGAATCTGTGTATGCTACATCAGTTTTTCGGTTTTCAAACAGACCGTTTTCTGGCACATATGCAGGATACGAGGAGTCTATGTCTGGGAACTCTGGGATATAAACTGGTGGCGGCTGGGGGGTGTTCACATCAGGAAGAGTGGGCACCTGAAATAGTTGAACAATTTAAATAAAAACACACAGCAATTCTCTGTTTTAAAGGTTGCTGACCAAGAGTGTTATGACTTATAGTATACAATATCATAGTTTGATTCAACCAGTCATTTTCAACTAAGATAAAGATGGAACTCAAATTGACTCTCACAATGCATCTTGTGCTTTAAAATTGAGTTCACAACCTTTCAACCTTATCACAGATCAATTACAAATATCTTAGTCATGGTCACTGTCATCACATTAGTCCTGCTATTAATTGAAGTGAATTATATAACATAAAGAATACTACATGACTGATGTCAACATGTGGTTATGGAGGCAAGTGTTAGCAGTGACCCTCTGTGAACTCATCTTTTGATGTCAGTTGGACAACTTAGCTTTTAAGTTAAAGTGGTTATGAATGCACTTTTCGAGGAAAAAAGAATGTTCTGATATCTCATCTAATTTGAACTCGGGTGGATAACTTCAACACACAGCATGGGCAGAATAGACATATTGTAGTCCAACTTTTGACAGACTGAAGAGTGCTCACCTGTACTGGAGGTTTGAAAGTGGAGAACTCCTGTGAAGGGGTGCTGCCCACACTCTTCAGTTCCACCTCCTGTATCCTGGACACCAGCTGAGTGATGTGCTCCAGCAGGTCCTTGTTGTGGAGTAGAAGCTGGTGACACCGGGCCTAAACACACACATTTATATCTAGTTCATTTATTCCATAACATACATACAAATGCTATTCAATCTTGGTCATAATCCATCTGACCCTTGTTGTAATGCATAACTATTGACATTGGGCATTGTGAAATATTTTGACTTCTGTAACAAATTTTTAAGTCTATAATACGAAATACAAGTACCATATACATATAAAATTATATCCTGTCAGAAACTGGATTGTGAAGTTACCAAAAATGTAGCATAGCAATAACTGGAGAATGAGGAAAATTTAAGGGAATAGATAACTTCATGTTTAGATGGACAGAACACAAAGCACTGATCAATTATGATATACAATAAGTCTGTTTACAGTCACTAACTATACTACCTGCTTTAAGTGAACTTAGATTAACATAACAGTTAAATGCCATGCATGAATGAGTGTTCCATTATTCAGTTCCTAAAAGACAGTGTAACCAAAACAACTGCCAGCAGCACTGACCTGTGCCTCAATCCTGGCTGCTGCCTCTGCCGCCAGCTGATCCTTGAGCAGGTGTACCTGAGCAATGGCCACCTGTGTCTGCTGCTGCTGCTGCTCTAGCTGCTGTCTGAGGAGCTGCACCTGGTGGTGGGAGCTGAGGGGCATTTGGCCGGACGTCTGGTAGCCATCACCCAGGAGTTGGACTGGAGAACCCAGAGGAGGGCTGAAGGTGCCCTGAGAACAGAAACCAGATGGCGCTTTAATTCAAGTGGGTTTTTTATGAAAACCAAGACTTAAGATGTGTTCACAACAGAAGTTGATCCCTGGATTACTAGATCCGCAGATAAAATATGGCTGACCCATTTGAAAGAGGTTACATCTTTTAAATCCCCATTACATGGGGAATCTATTAAGTGTCTTTTAGGGGATTTGGTAGCAATTTTTCAAATGGGTTGGCTATATTTGATTCGCAAATCACACATATTTGATCAACTAGTTCTAAACGCAGCCTAAGGCCTGTCTTAACCGTTATGACCTACCTTTAAGTATATAAATATGAATTTCAAAACTTGGGGGAATACCACCGTAACAGTTGTTTTTGTGCAAGCCTAAGCAGACTGATATGGAAAAAATATCATCATCATCTTCAAGTAAAGTAGACCTTAGTCTTAATGGCTCCCATATGCATTCATTCAGTCATCTAACAAAAAAGAGGGGGCTTGTGTGACCCTGTTTCAAGAGTGCCTCATTCCCCAATTATTACCATGGACACTGGCGTCTTGGCCCCCATACTTCTCAGCATCTGTTGAGCTTGCATCAGGGCATCTTCTGGACTTGTCTGGTTACTGCCGCTGTTGTCTACTCGGTCAAACTGATCACACTCCTTCTGGGACTCAGTCACTTTCTTCTTAGCTGAAAAAATGTATACACGAATGACTTAGATATAACACTGGAAGTCTGCCGCTTTTATCTTAGCTAGCAGAGGTGTATAAATAAATGGGACGTTAAGGCATAAGAGATTGATTTTTTTTTCACACAAAGACAACTGTGTTCATTCCCATGTGACCACATTCTAGAAAAATTATTAACTGGAATAGCTTGTACTTGATATTTTCATCAGCTACAAATTTCTTCAATAATTAAACGAGCATCAAATGCCACCAAGAAAAACAAATTAAAAACACCAAGTTCCCAGCATTCAATGTTTTTTCCTGATATTTCTCTGACAAAAATTGACACTTCCAGGATCATAATTATACCTATTTCTTGTTTTTTACATCATCAAAAATGGCTACTGTGGACTTAAAACATAAACAGCCTTTGTTTTGGCACGGACACAAGTCTGCCCAAACAACATATCTGTAATTTTCCCTGATTTTAGGTACTTTAATTGAGGTACTCCAATTCCCGGTCTTCTCTCTTATTGGTGAGAGGGGAAGTCATGTATCAGGTTAACAGGAGAATGAATTGTATGGGTTGAAATTGGAATTAAAAACTAGACTGAATTGTCACGTAATTCTCCATATCTACCATATTGCTATTTCTGCACAGGTTGTAACAAGCAGATTAACAGCACTGCTTAGTAATGATTGTAAACAACATCATGAAATACACAGATGCTTTAATTGAAATATCTTGTTCCTTTTCATACCTATTATATCATCAATTTTAATGTGGATTAAGGGGGAAAATAAGCTGGCATTCATGCCATAAAAGTCAGACTTTCTTTCTTTCTTTTCTTTTTAAGTTGGTTCCAATGATTCCAAATCTTCTATGCATCTATTATGTCAAAGGAAGTTTAAAATAAGTTATCCCAAGATCTATTTTACAAAATAATAGTAATAATGACATAAAAAATAAAAAAAAAAACATAACAAAATAACCAAAGTCCTGCCTATAGGTAGTCAGCAGTCGATTGCAATCCTCCATTACTCTCCAAAGAGAACAAGACAATGATTAGTTAGTGGCAATACATGGAGGGGGGG